CACCAAGTCCAACGACCACCGCCGGCGAGGACCAAAAAGAGACTTGGAATCTCCAGAAACAAGCCCTTATACACGAACTCTCTCACAAGCTCATAAGTCATAACTGGAGATCTACAGGCCAAGATCGAAGCTGCTATAGGCATTAGAAAACTCGTTAGAAAAATCTTCCGTTAAGACACGTTCCAAATTTGGTGCTGCTGTTGTTATTCAACCACTTGTTTCAATGCTCTCCTCCCCTAATCTCGATGCGCGTGAAACTTCTCTTCTCGCTCTCCTCAACCTTGCTGTTAGAAATGAAAGGTCGCTACTAAATCTTTGGATTCATTTTATAGTTCCGTCTTTAAGAACTTTTTTGGTTGATTTCTTGTTGTTTCCATTGTCTGTTTGGTTGATCGGAAAGTCATATTAGAGGGGGAATTGGATTAAAGTTATTGATAAGGTATATAGGGTTGGATTCTTTTAGTTCTTTGAGTTAATTATTAAGTCAATTAAGTCATTTAGTTTTCTGTAAATTTGATAGTTTTGGACTATGGGATGATTGTTTTGAGCTTTTAACTGGTTCGTAACTACACCTAAATATACACTATCACACTGTACTTGGCTTTTAACTGGTTCAAGTAACAACTCAACCCCAAAATAGAGAGATTACCTTCAGCTTGAAAGACTGAAGATTTTATTGGAATATTATTTTCCTCAATCCATGAATCCCTTGCATGGAGTGGACAGATTTCGGATTTAGATCGCATCCATGAATCTCTCACCACAATTCCCTTTCTTGCTTCTTAGGTAGTGGAACTGACAAAGAAAACTGTGGCCCGGGTCTCCAAGTGATATCCTATAAAGGCTGCATTTCTCCTTCTGTGAAATAATTATAATTTTCTGTAAAACGTATTTTGAAAAATATTTTTTAGGAAAATGAATTACATTTTTTAAAAAATATTTTACGATGTTTAGAAGATGATATTTAAATATTTTTTCTATTAATTGATGAGTTTTTTTAAAAATTATTTATTACAAATATTAAATATAATAAATAATATTATTTATAATAAAACTTAATATAATTATTTTTAAAATATTAAAATAATTTATTTATTATTAAATATTATTTTTATAATTTTATTAATAAAAATATTAATATTAGTATATTTTAAATATCTTTATTAAAATATTATTAGATTATTAGATTAATATTAAATATATAAATAATATTATTCATTATTAATAATTTAATAATACTATTTCTATGAAATTAATAAATAATATAAATTTTATTAATAATTTATTATATATTATTAAAATAAAAATATAATATCTTATATTATTATAATATAATTGATTTTTTTTATTATAATATTAAAAATATAATATTATGTTATTAGAAATATTAATAAATATATTTTAAATATTTTAATAATTAATATTTTGATTAAAATGATATTAAAATATTTTATTAATATTAAATTCATAAAATAAAATTATTTTGAGTATTTATTCTTTGAAGTGAAAAGTTCGGAAAATGACTTACGGGAAATCAGACCGTAAGTAATTTTCAAGAAAACACAAAGTAAATTCTGCTGACCAGAAAAATGTTTTATGTTAACCAACCAATTTTCCTCCAACCAAATACTAGAAAACATTTTCCAAAAAACGAATTACGTGAAACAAACACAGAATTTTGGGGAAAACCAATTCCGTAATTTATTTTCCTCCAAACAAACAGACTCTAAGTTTACACCCCAAGTTATCTGCCAAAAATTTAAATTTAATTAGATGTCATATTGCAGTGAATATAAGTTGCACAAATGACCAGGTTCACTTAAAAGAAAGGCCCTTTACTTAGTTTTTCTTTGAATCGAATTCAAAGTTGTTGAATTGTATAATCGTCAATTACTGACATTGGTAAACGGCTCAAAACAATTTGATTATAATTCAATTCGTGACGGTCATAAGTAGAAAGTTCATATTCTTCAGTCATTGATAAACAATTTGTTGGACAATACTCAATGCGGTTACCACAAAATATACAAATTTCGAAATCAATACTGTAATAACAAATCAAAATTCCTTTGTAAAAAATACATAGAAAAAACTAAAGCAAAACCATTTTACTTTATTATTTGGCAGGCTAAGTTTCATTATTTCCGAGAAGGGAAAAGAATAAAAGTTTCATTATAGCACAGAGCTTTTTTCTCATGGACTTTCTCCAAAAGTCAGTCTTGTTTAAGTGGTCTAAGAAGGAATTTCTTGTCTCAGAAATCCTTCTATCCAAAAGGTGTAATCTCAGATGCAAGAAGTGCAAGGCTGACATTTTGGAAGAAGAGCCAAATATTTCACATGTTATTACAGATGATACAGACCATAGATATCAAATTATTTACTGCACTATTGACGGTGACACTGCTTTGCATTTTAAAGTAAACAATTTGTGCTGCTTATCATAGTTGGATCAGTGTACCTTGACTTCAGCCCTCCATATGTTTGCATGTTCAGTAGGAGAGACATCGGGATTGCCATCTCTGGTTCCCAGCAGCCCAAGGCAACAGATTCCCCACTAAGGTCGAGAAGTTGCCCTTCTGCTAGATCTGCTTCCACAGTCCAACCTACCTCACATAATTCTTCAAAAGTGATAGTCGACATACCTGAGAAAATTTGTCCAGTTCATCATTCTGAACTACAGAATTTTTTTTCCTGAAAGGGACACATTATATGTGGATAACTAATAGAGCGAGAGGGGGGAAAATAAGATACCTAATTGGGAGATAGCCTTTTTGATTAATTTAAAACGACACATTTTTTATAATCTTTATTTATATTTCCTGGAACAACAATAAAAACTCTAGATTTATCTTATTCCCTTTATAACCGGTCATTTGCTAGACCAAGATTACAAATTCTGCAACTAGAAATGTTATGTATAAATCTAACAGCAAAAGGTGTTTGCTGACAGATTAATTAATCCTATCAAATCTACCAGCATAATAAAGGCAGATAATACATTAAGTCAATAGAATATAGCAACACAGGACAGTCACTTACCTTTCTATGCAGACGTAAGTGGGGATCTTGACAAAGAATTATGATTGCAACCACAAAGATTAAATCCGAAAACATGTCCATGGGGAGACGGTACCAGGAAACCTTCTTCAAAGTATAATCAATGGGTTGATCTGGAAATTGAGAGGAGAAGGAAGAAGCAAAGTTGATCAGAATTTTAAAAAGAAAAACACATTTAAATCCATTGATGTTCATCGTTTGCAACCATGCCCAAATTCTGCAACTTCCCAACATAATAAACATATATTTTTGCATTTTGCATGTGGAACAGTTTGAATTCCTAGTTAACGTAACAGACTCTGGAAATGAAAGAAGAATACAACAAAATGCACAAACATGATTTCACAGCTCGAGTTTATATCCCCCCAGAAGGTGGTAAGCATGTTCATTATACTAGTATCACAAAACACAACTTTGTAGGCTTTGGATTTACGTATGGCACATGTGCAAGAATGAGGCCGACACTAATACGGCGATAGCCAAAAGAACTGATGCAAATTGTCTATATAAAAAAGTAGCCATAACCAAGGAATACTCCAGCATCTATTAATGCATATGAGATACCTCTGTTGTTCTAAGAATTTAACCCTCTTTAAAATTTTAATTCAGTAACGCTTTCCAAATGACTGTGTCAAAAACAGTAATTTAGAGCGAAAGAAAACCAAAAGAAGCATAGAAATTGAACAAAAGCTGCCACCTTTCACAGCTTCAGAAAAAAAAAAAACCCATATATCCTTATCCTTAGGAAAGGCAAAAAGAGAAAAAAATGAAAACCGAGTTGAAGGAAAGCGGTACGTACGGTGATAAGAGCTTAAAGAACGAATCAGACAAGAGGGAGTTCGTGGAGAGAAAAGAGAGCAAGGCCAAGATATCCATGAAAGTAGAGTGGTGAAGCTCAGTGAAGTAAAGCATGGCGGAAGCTCCAAAAGTGCGTAAATTTGAGGAGATATCAGGGGCAGTTCCGTCATTCGGGAGAGCATTGAGGTTAACTGTTTGGATCTGGTGACGAGGGCAGAAGGGCACTGTAGTTGATAATGAAAATGTTTTTCCCTTCTCACTTTAGCACAAGTCACTCAACTTAAAAAATTAATAAGTCTGATTTTTTTTAAATTTTCCATATAATATCAAAGGAAATACTCAATTTTACTCTTTAAAAAAAATGATCAGTGTACTGTCTTCATCTTAAGTATTAAACATAGAAGAATTAAATGTAATTTTCAGGAATTCGGGTTAATATTCCATCAAATATATGTCCTTTAGCTCAGTTGAATAATCACACTAACTAAATATGTCTTTCATAAAGTAAAATAGTAGGCTTCAACAACAACAAAAATTGAATATTTACAATGCCAAATATTGCCAATGATAATTGCAATTAAATAAAAAAAATCCACTTGGTTTTATGTTATAAAAATTATTTAAATGGTTTATACTCTTAGACAAACTTTTAAATTTTAACTAAATCTTTTTTATTTTGGATAAACTACAAATTTAATCATCAATTTATTTTCGTTGTTCTATTTTGGGCAGTCAACTATTTTTTCTTAAATCCTACTTAACATTACGTTCTGATCCCGTCGTTAAAAAAATAAACATAATTGTTAATGTGATAATTTTATTCAATGATGATTTAATATTACTTTATGGGGCTCATCAGCATCGCCATTAATTTTTTAACATTAGATTATCGAATCATAACCAAAACTTAATATTGTATATGACTTAAGAAAAATAGTTGGGTGACTAAAATGGAATCACAAGAACATATGGGTGACTAAATATTTGGTTTACGCTTTTTTTATGTAGTTTTAAAGATGGAAGGAGTCACAAAGGAGAATGACGGGCCCACGAAAATCGTATTAAGAATGAAGACCTCAAACAAAATAAAAAGGCCCAAACAAAGAATTTAAAAGCAAAAAAAGAAAAAAAAAATTCATACGGGAAAAAAAGAAGATACAGTGTGTGTTTTGCTTCTCTGTATAATTAGGGTTTAAAACGGGTTTGATAATCTTCTCTTCGTTTCCAATCCTTCTGTCTTGGGCATTTTTCTATTGAAAGGAAGAAGCTGGTGATGACAATGGAGGAAGGCAATGTTGCAGCTGGAAAAAGGAAAAGAAATATTGGTAAAAAGAAAGGTAACAAAACCAAGAATAAGAAGCTTAAGATGTTGGAGGGTAAAGGAAAAAAGTTAAGAGTAAGTAAAAAAATGAGAAATCTGTTCGAAAAACGAGCCCGTGACTACAATTCCGATGACGACGAAGAGGAGGAAGAGCGGAAGGAAAAGGAAAACACGGAGGCGGCGGCAACTCGGAGGGGCGGCGGCGGAGATAATTCTTCTGAAGGAAGTGATGATTCAGGAGGAGGAGGAGGAGGAGGAGGAGGAGAAGAAGAAGAAGGTGGTGAAATTCAACCTGGGGTTATGAAATTTACAGAAGGTGTTAGAGCATTCAGGGTTGCATTTAAGAACATTATAAAGAGGAATATAGCTAATGATTCATTGGTAAAGCTAGTTTCTAAACTTGGGTCTATTTCATTTTAGAAGGAAAATTGTGTTTCTTGTTCAATGATTTCCCGCATTGTTATAGGGTCCTGTGTTATCTGGGCACAAGCAACTTATCGCAAAGAAGTTAGCTGAAGAGGAAGCTGAAAGGAAAGTTAAGGGAGAAGCCAAGAAAGAAAAACATTTGGTATTTGCCTTAAAATTTGCAAAATATATTGCTATGATTTTGCTTTTGCAATGCTTTTATTTTATGCTATGTGCCATTAATGTTACAGGTTGCGGAGAAGGGACATGTAAAGCCTGCAAATTACTTGGATTCACATGAAAAGTTTCTCATTGGTATCGCCACGAAAGGAGGTAATGTATTTTTAGACCATATATGGTTTAATGTTATATATAAACTTAATTCATTGCTTATTTTTCTCTTGCTAATTATGTTGCGTTGTTTATGTGTTGCTGGATATTTCAGTGGTGAAGTTATTCAATGCTGTAAGTTGTTTTCTCTTTGTCGAAGTCTCTTATTTCATCTGTTATATTGTTGGTTATTACTATCATGTCTCTATGTAATCTTTTTTTTTTTTCCATATATCATGTAGGTGAACAAAGCACAAAAGGCTCAGAAAGGATTGGACCCTTCAAGGTCTAAAGATGCAAAAAGTATGCATTATTTAGTATCCTCCTGATTACCAAGTAAATCTTACTTCGAATGTGATGCCCTATTTTCGGCATTTGATATTTTGGATAACTTGAAATGCTTGTTCTTGGCTTATTTCGAGGCTTTCACTTCTTTCACAACTATGTCTAATATCTTTATGACCAGATTGGTCAAAAGGAAATGGTATTATTATCAATATCACCAATTATCACCAATTAAAATCTCATACATTTTTTGCTCAGTAATTCACAATAGCCTTTTTTTTATACATGCATGTGCATGCACAAAGGCCTTTTGTATATGTTGTCACTTCCATCTTTGAGATGGAAGTACTTTATTCTTTCAAAAGCTGTAGAAATTGCATTCAAAAGCTTTTGATGGTTAAAGTATAATCAACAGTTCTAGAAGTTCATGGAAATAAACTGGGTCTTTCTCCTCTATGTGCACCAAGTTCTGATCAATTGGTTCTTAGGATTCGGTGATTTAAAGAACTATATTTTGTGTTTTACATTCTATCATGTCGTACAAATAAAAAGACTAAATGGATTTATCATGAGATATATATGCCTTTAAAACCCTAGGTTTAGAGGCTGAATATGATGTAGATTCTTCACATGTGAATGTTAATTTTCATGGTAATTAACACATTCCACTTTTAAAAGATTGTTGGAAAACTTTGTTTACATCAGTGTAACCCTTAAAGACGTTCTACTTTCCTAGTTCCAGTTTTCTGACATTGTTGTTTATGAATCCTGCTAGTGATAAGGAAGCGGAGTAAAGAAGCCTTCTTTTCAGAGCTAGGAAAGACATCATTTCCTGTACAAAATTCTTCCAGCAAGGTTGGTTATTTTCTGAACTATTTTTTCTGGTTCCTTGCATTGTGCCATATCACACAACAATATCCTCCTTTCTTTTTCCTTCGCGTGTTATGGTGTTGTTATGGTTGATGTACTAAACTTTAGCATATATGTCTATGCTCTTGTGCATGTTAACCTACAAAAAAGTTACGTTATTTTCTCATAATTATCTGGGAACCTCACATTGAATCAATGCTGCCGATGCATGTGCCTGGATGATCCTGCACCCTAGCACTAGACAACAAAAGAGCCTTTGGTCCTTTTGGGCAAGGCCCATTTGATCAGGTGCACACTTGGGCTGTGTACAGGTGCTATTTTGTAAGGCGATAGGCCTAAAAAATGCCTGCCTGATTGAAGTTCTCTTAAATTTATTTTATTTTTCACTTTTTTTATGTTTACCTTTATTAGCAAGAAAGGAATGGTATTCAATTCTCTACTTAATATTTGAATATTCAACACAGAGGGCCATAAGCAAATCATAAAAAAGATTGCATGTTGTATTGTGCTTTACTTCAGTTAAGCTAACATGTTTTTTGTGTGGTTTGCTTGAGCCATTATAAGGGTTCAAACGCCTGAAGTGCACCTCGTGCCCTTGACAACACTGCACTGAATGCCATTTTCTAGTTGTTTATTCGGATTCTTTGTAAGTTTTACTGAAATTGCTTATGAAGTTATATGACATGCAGGATAATACATCATGTGATCCTAGTAATGATGAAGGACCTGCTTGGGCCCCATTGCGTGATAATTACATGCTAACAAATCCTAAGTTGAAGGACTGGGATAAAATGGCGGTGAGAATGTTAATGCTTTTGGCATTACCGGTCATGTCCTTTTAACTGGAGGTAGAGACCACTTGCATTTACCTCTTTGTTTTGGGTAACAAGTTTGTTCTGCTAACTTTTTCACAGGACTCGGCGATAGTTGATGATGTTGGAAGGATGTCTGAAGATAGTGGTTCAGATGATGATTGAAGTCCTTTGCTCTTCCCTGTCATGGTATAACTGCAAAACCTGATTTTACTTTTTTTACATTTGGTTCAGTTGATGTTGGAAGCATGTCTGAAGATAGCGGTTCAGATTACGGAATGATTATTCTACTTACTATCTTTATTCCCATTCCAAAAGGAAAATGTTGGCACGTATGAATTTGTCGGTTCTTTTGACGATGTGGAAGATGTTGTAATCGAACCAGAATTCCAATATTTATTTTGTTTCAGTCAAAAATATAAACGTGAAACTTTGATACATGTCCACGTCCATGTCCATGTCCATATATAATCACCGCTCTTGAGGGGAATATCTCTCGCATAATATCAACGTGTTGACTATTTTCCGAGGAAAGCTCCATTGCAAAAGATTTGGTGATCAAGTCGGATTCTGAATTCGCTCTCTCTTGCTCTATAAGTAAATATCTAAAATTTATATTTTATCTTCCATTTTAAAATCTTAATTTTATTATTAACGATAACTATAAAAAATTAAAAAAAAAAACTTTTTAATCTCATAAATTTGAAGTTTTCTTTAATCAGTTTTGCTCGTGGCATATTAAAACCGACCCTAACGGGAAAAAATCACGGAAGGAAATAAAAATAAAGAACAGGATGGCTGCAAATTCAAAGTTCCAATTCCGACGCCCGCACAAAGTCACGGAAACACAGGAAAAGCAAAGTGATGACTATGATGATGATATCGAGTCGTTCTTTAGGCCGTTAGAGACGCCATCTCCTGGTGGAAGTAGCACAGCTGGATCTGCTACCTCTAATGATGGTCAGTTTGGGCGGCATTGTGTTTCTACAAAATCAAAGAAATTTTTTGAAAGATTATGAGAGAATATGCAACTGCCTAATATGACAAAGTGCAACATTTCTAGATAAATTATGTTATTATTGGTGTTACATTTTCAATTATTTCCTCATTTTAGATCAATTATGATGATGTTTTTAAAACTTTGCCTTTTGCTTTATGTCAGTTCCCTGAACAAGTAAAAAAGCATCAATCAAATGAAGCCTTATGTCTTGTTTTTGAATTGTTTCAATTTCAGGAAGACGTTGAGATTTCTGAAGTCTGGTTTGGAACAATTGTGTTGAACTCTGAGCCGATTGCTGTAACTAATGGTACTCCCAGAGTAGTGAAGCTTTGCAGTTAGATTTGGTCGAACATTTTGAAAATGGAAATCAGCTGCCAACTAAAGATGGGCTGAAAGAAAATTCTCCTCGGGATAAACTACGTAGTTATAAGGTTGATCATGAATCTAATCAGCTGCATAACTCTCCCTTAGCGGGCTCCATACACTCATTATCTGCTAAAAGAAAGCAAATTCTTCTGGATACTACTGATGCACCCAGACGTTCGCTATTTGTTACTCCTTCCCCAAAACAATCTTGTTCTGTTTTGAGCAAGGGAAGTATAGAAGAAGGTGGTAGTGTGGCATCCATTCCTAAGAGTGTAGAATAAAGGTATTTGGTGGGGAGAGTAAATTTGATTCTCTCCTTTTGACTTGTATATTTACTTGTATATTATTGAGAAAAATAATACCTATAGGTTATAAAAAGAGCTTAATCTAGAAAAATTACACAAAATCAACTATCAAATTCCTAAAAATAGCAACTAGATATATGGAAATTTAATCTCATATTTTCTGCAATCTAAATTACAAGAATTACTCTATTTACAGTCTATTAAAATGTAAATATTCTATAGCTTATTTTGTTCACACTAACACTCCCCCTCTAGCTGGGGAGTAGATGTTGTAAAAACCCATCTTGAATGTGAGTTCATCAAAGGTAACTCTTGGAAGTGTCTTGATAAGGATATATGTCGGCTGGTCTTTAGTAGGAACATAATTCAATTTCACTGACCTAACATTTACCTTTTCAAAAATGAAATGGCTGTCAATCTCTACATGTTTTGTTATGTCACGGTGGATTGAATTTTTAGCTATACTTATGATAGACTTACTGTCACTTTGAAGTTCAAGTGCTTGTTGTCACAAAGGTCTAGTTCAGTCAAGAGTCTCTGTAACCAAATTCCTTCACAAATTTCAAGTGCCATGGCCTTAAACTCTGTTCCAACAATGCTTTTGAAAATTATAGCCTGTTTTTTACTTCTTCAAGTCACCAAATTTCCCTAAACAAATGAACAATATTCAATAGTGGATCTTCTGTCGATTAATTCCCCTGCCTAACTTGAATATGAAGAAAAGAAAACTTTCACTGTTCTGTCTTTATTTTTTCTAAAATTTAATCCATGTCCAGATGTCATTTTCAAATATCTTAGGGTTATGTTCACAGCTTCCAAATATCATTCATGTATTGACTTACTATACTGACAGAAAAAGCTATACTGACTTACTCTACCTTAGGCAAGTGCTGAGGTTTTCTAGCATCTTTGAGAAAACAAAAGGGACGTCAACAATATGTTGGAGTCCTCTCTCTGTTGCTTGTGTGAGCACGATGTTTCTTTGTAAATTGCATTGTGGAAGTGACGACTTTCCAGTAATCCTGAATCCGATGATGAGTTCGTAGTAAAATGAACTCTACAAATTTTTAAAGGTTGCCTCTATTAAATGCAGATTAACCTCTTTTTATTTGTTTATTTGTTCTTCCAAGTAGTATTACTGATGGTTGAGGACTAACAAAGTTCCGTATCCAAGAGGCAAGAGCTGAGCCTAATGAAGGAATCAACTTGTTAACGCTAATGAGATAAATAATCTTGTTCAATCTCTCCCTCTTGTGGACCGATCGACGTGCTGCATTTTGGACAGTGTAATTTTCACAGATGAGATGAGAGCCCTGCCCTGCTAATGAGGTTAGCTTGTCTTTCCTTTGAATAAGAACAGTTCCCAAAATGAGACACTTAAATTTAGCTGTTGAAGCATTTACATCATTCTTGTTTGAAATTGTAAATTTTAGGACCACCTGATTGATAACATGTGCTGTTTTTTTGGACCATTTAAGTCATTGTAGGATATTGAATGTGCGTGTGTGTTTTTTTTCCAGAGATATTGAAAATGCCTGAAATTTTGAATTTAGCTTCGGATGTTCATACATGGTGGGAAACCGTCTAGTATAGACAAATTATGTTACTGGTCATTGAGGTGTATTATTTTTACTAATTGCCACGTGTAGAAATTACACTGATTTAGCAGACCTGGTTTGGAGATTCAAAATGTTCGATAAACGGGATTCCTCCTGTACTTAAAGAGGTTCTTTTTCAAATATAGTGGGGAGGGAAAATCTACCCTACAAATGGACTTTTCTCTTCTTTAGGTTTGAAGAGGATAAGCTGTTTCTTTCACACTGTTATTTCAGGAGTCAATTCCCTTGTGAGAAAACATCATGTTGACATATCTCATATTCTGATTTGTTTAAATCAAGTGATGTGAGTAATTAAAAATTAGACTAAACTATATATTTAGTCATCTAATTAATAGTGTAGTTTTGTATGGTTCATTAAACAATTTTTTCTTTTAATATCATATCTAACGTTAAATTTTATTTACTTGTTGTTAAAAAATTAACGATGATGTTGACGTGTCATCACAAGTTTGTGTCATGTTATCATTTAAAAAATAGAAAAGTATCACACAAATAATTTTGTTAATTTTTTTAACGATGGGTATGATTTTAGTCGGATGATCAAAACAGAACTACTCGAATAGTTGAGTGATTAAATATCTAGTTTATCCTAAAAATTATCAAGTTATTGTTAATTTATCATTAAATTATGTAGAAAAAAGAATAACTATTAGGGTTGTTAAAATATGTTGGGACATTACCCCCAAAAGTCTTATCCATTCAGATTCTTGTTCAGTAGCTTGAATCAAAAGCGGGGGATAAGTTGAGATTCTTCAGTAAAAAGGTTTAATTTTTCAGCTTTCAGGTTGGTTGGTTGGTTAGGTATAGAATCTACTGCCTGTTATGAAGTATAGGTTCAGTCAACATTTCCCTCTTTTACCGTAAAAGTAATTCTGTTGTACGACTTTTTTTAACATAAAACTAAAGAAATATATTATCGAAAATACTACTATTTTTTAATATTTTTAATAGATGTGTTGAGTTAATCGATCGACAAAATAGTTAAGAGAGGGTGAATTGGTAATTAAAAATTTGGTGGAAGCTTTTACAAAAAATTGAAAATATTTGCACAGCGATTTAGAGTGGTTCGACTCTCTTAACCAAAGTCTACGTCCACTACCTTAGCTATCCACACTAAGGATTTTTCAACAAATTCACTAATTTGTTCTTTTTTTTAGGACAAAGAGTAACCTTACAACTCCCTCAAGAATTATATCCCAAATTCTTGAGCACACTCTCTCCCAAAGAGAAATACACAAATTTTGCAAACTTACAAGAAAAATCTCACAAGGTAAATTGTTTGCACAATTCTATAACAAAGAAAGAACACTCAATAATGAATATAATTGAGTACAAATAGTGTTCTTGAAAACAAAATGAATATTGAATGAAAAATAGGTTTGAATATCTCAACCTTGATGTTTTAAAGCTTTATCTTTGATTCTCTCTCAATTGTTGTTTCTTATTTTTTATCAATGGCTCCTAAGCTTGTTTAAATACACCTTGGGTCACTTCTGAACGTTGGGGATCATTAGTGGAGTCAATAGAGCCGTTATTGTGTGAAAATAATTAATAAAACAGTTGGAAGCGTATAGTGCATCAATGTATAGGCAATATGCATCGGTACACTATGTGTAAAATTCAAATATTTCGACCGTTGGAAGACTTAGTGCATCGGTACACTAGGGGTGCATCGATGCATAAAAACATTCGATGTTTCAAATAAGCCTGGAGTGCATCGATGTATAAAATGCATTCAATGCTCAAATTATTTAGGGGTGCATCGATGCATTCCTTGTGCATTAGTACACAAAATACATTCGAAATTCAATTTATTCAAGGGTGCATCGATGCATTATATAGTGCATCGGTACACTACTCTGAAAAACTGATACTTGGCTCGTTTTTTGTTCGAAATACTTTGTGAAAATTGTTTCAAAAATATTTTAAGATTAAAACACAATTTTATACTTTAGTAAGGATTGAAATTGATCTTTTAAAGACTTGAAGTAATATCTTGAAATTTGTGTAAATTGATTCGAATATACTTGGAAAATGATTTGTAAAATCTTAAAATTTATTTGTACTTAATTTGCTATATCGAAACATCAAAAATGTTTTCAACAATCTCCCCCTTTTTGATATAACAAAACATTTGAGTAATTTTAA